GGGGGGGGGTCCTGGAACCGAAGCGTTGGAGGAAAGAGGCACTTGAACTCTAGGTAATGAATTGCTGATCTTTCTATGTCAGGGTGTACTCTCAGGCTGTGGCCCACATTTTGGAGTATGTATAAGTGGGTCTTTTATCCACAGAATTCCCAGACTGGGGTCAGATCAAGATTTAAGGCTCACTCATATGTCATTATTATACCTCCCAGTGCCTTCCTTCTCCTCTGTAAAAGAAAGCTAATAACAATTATCCCACTTTCTCATTGAGTTGTACAAGGAGTTGAGGAAATAACAATACATAAATATGCCTTACAAATATAATGCAACTAGGAGGTATGAGTTCTCACTGGGCCTCCAGGGGATCTCTCCGGCAAAGGGCTGGCTCTCTGACAGACGCTCTGTGAGGTCCAGGTGGGAGGGTGGCTGGTCACTCTCTTTGATCTCAAACACTTTCGAATAGAACACGTTAACCTCTAACTCCCACTTAAGATCTGAGATATATTGTTGGAGGCAAGAATCCCAGGCCAGCAAATGCCACCGATGACTATTCAAAGAAACCCAGGAAATGTATGTAACTCTCTTCCTTAAAGCCCTGTCATGAGTCAGGACTGATGTTCTACCAGTTTAATCCTATAATCTTAGGATGCCGGGAGGGTACTTGTCTCTGGCAGGTGATAAACTCTGAGAAGCCAGCCTTCTAAAGCCAGAGGCTTAAGATTCTCCCATGCATTCATGTTTTCCCTCCCCTTCCAACTTTATTAAAAACCCAGTAGTTCGGGGATGGAATTCAAAGCTACCACTGGGTTCGCCTTTGTTTGGAGGGTGAGATGGCTCCCTTCTACATGGGTAGTCTGAATTCCAGGCAGTTGAGTGTAGTTCCATTTCACCACCCAAGTTTATTAATGAGCTCTCAAGGCTTGAGGTCTGCTGTTTGGGATTTTTTTTTGTTTCCTTTCTAAGTGTAAAGTCAGCAGTCCTGATGAAAGAAAATGAAGAATGTCAGTGGTATGGAATGTCTTTATGAAAAGCATTGGGTGGGCTTACTTGGAGACAGAAATGGGTTGTAAAAATGTTAGAAGCTTTTCAGAAAGTAAAGTAGTTGTATCTGAAGAGGTTTGTGCTTTCTCTGCACTTGACTAAAGCTTAGTTTTTTAGTCTCCTGATATACTTTCTAGTTCTTTACTCAGTTCTCTTAAGGTATGATTCAGCCCAGACTCAGGCTGTGTCCCTACAAGGAAAATTGAAGTTAAACTTTCAGACAATTTTTCCCCCTGAAAGTTGAGACCTTCTAACATCCCCCTCATTGAAGAAAAAAATATGTTTGGGGATTTTCTGAGTTGACTTTCTACATTGATCTTTAAATTGTCCACACTTGCTACAAAGCATCTGCTTCTGTTTCATTATCTCTGATCAGAAATCATGTCAGATCATTGGTAGTTTCATCATTTTCAAGAAAGTGAAACTTTACTCATGTATTTCTTTAACTGGAAATTTGGCTCCTAGATTTTCTTTCCTAGTAGCTACAAACAACTGTGTTGAATTTTCACTTTTCATTTTGATCTCTTTCCGCTAACCGCTGCTCATAAAACATCTTAAAGTCAGAAGCCAACATTGGTCTTTTGCTAACTTCACATCTTGTTTGGTCTTTCTCCCAGCCCATGTGAAGGTTGGAGGCGTAAGGCTGGGCTTCAGGACCAGATGTTTCCAGGCCTATCGCTACCACTCGCAAGCTGAGCACCCACCAAGAAGCCACGCATACTTTCAGGGCCGCAGTCTCCTGTCTGTGGAATGAGACCGATACCGCCTACCCCAGTTCCCACACAGGGCTGTCAGGAAAATCATATGAGATTCACGAAGGTGAGTTTACACACGTCCTGGGGACCCAATACTACTGTGATTCCACTTTTCTCATTTCAAGGGAACAATACTGTTGTCAATACAGCTTATTCACTGGGAATTAACTGGAGCCCTCAAGACATTCAGGTCAGTCACAGCAGCTTCTTTTGCACTTTGATTGACCCCCAGGCTCCTCACACACCAGGTCAGTTCCACCCCACTATTTGCTGGCACCAGCTTGTCTTCACTGGTCTTACATACTTAAGAAATAACTAGTTCTCACTCATGAAACCATTTCTGGTTTCTGTGGTGTCCTGGCTATGTACTTCCTCCTCCCCAGGATGGGTAACACTTGGAGTCACTGACCCTGCTCCATGCCCAGGCAATTTGAAAAAGGAAGACATCATGGTCTCTATCTAATGAAACAGAACACCCAATATCAGCGTCATCTGGGTCAGGTTTTCATTTGTAATTGAGTAAAATGAGGTCCAGGAAGGTAAAGTGGCTTCCCAAGGCCATAAAGCTGGTGAGGGGTCCAGCTTGGGCCAAGCTGCTGACCACCCACCCACTGCTCATTTTATTCCATCACCAACAGAGATCCAACCAACCAGGCAACTGGAGAACAGAGCCACTGGCCAGGGAGGTGAGGGGTCAATAGTCCAGTAACCTGGTACCCACCACAGAGGAGGCTTTGATGGGACTAGACAGGGAGGGAGTATAGAAGAAAGAAACCAAGGGAGAGAAAAGGCCAATAGGGAGAGAGAGAAGGGTGGGGTTAAGAC